CATGTTTTTTATAGTGGTCCTGACTGGACAAACTAAGCACCTAAGCTACCACAGGTTCTCTCTCATGTTTGGAAGGGCAGGCTGAGGTGAAGGGTATTCAGCAGCAACGTGCAACTTCACCTCTAGATGTCTCTAAATTCTACACACTGAACCCTCAAAATCATGTATTACACCTTTAACAGCCAGATGACCTCTGTGACTTTATTAAAGTTGATGCCATGCTGTTGTTGTTAATGTCAATACAAATAATGATTGAAAAACAATATGTGAGCATAAACACCAAATGGGTAGTCTATCTACATTTTGCACATGGATGCATATACACATATATAAACACACTGATTGACTAATTGTTTTAATGAATCTCAATATATTAATTGATGTGGCATACCTAAATCATCCACTTTATAGTCTTTTTTGATTCAAAACATCCAGGTGCTGGATTTGTATTTGTAAATGTTGCAACAATACCATCTAACTGCAGGGCCAACTAAAATACAATACTCTACCTAAATGTATGTATGTATGAGCCAATCAAGGACCATGCAGGAGTAGAACTGTGTCAAATGTTGTCAGATATCAAAAAGTTCAACTCATGCTGTATGAGGATCATGAGGCATCAGCCAAAAAACTACATTGATTAGTGTTGGCCTAATTTAAACTCTATAAACAGGGTCTGAGCATATAGGTTAGAGCGGGTGAATACATTTTTAAAGTAGCATGAATAAATTTCAGTTAGTGTATAATCTGATGCTGAGTGCAAGGCAGACCAGGGTTCTCATACTGCATCAGGTGATTAGTGAGAATCAGAAGTGTGCCAGGGACCTTCAGAGGTAAAACCATACCCAGACCTGTCAGTCAAATCACACACATACTCACATTTACCAAGCAATCAGTGTTCATTCATTCAGACACACTCACACTCACACGCAGAGGAAGGTGGGGCAGCCAATGTACAGACCATGACTGCAGCTTTTGAACTTTGCAGAAAAAGCACAATATGTCTCCTTTAAAGGTCCAGTGTGTAAGATTTAGGTGAAAGGGATCTATTGGCAGAATTTTAATGTAGAATAATCCTCATGATGTTTTCAGTAGTTCGTTTCATCTAAATTGTATGAATAGTGGTTTTCTTTACCCCAGAAAAGGCCCTTTATATTTAAATACTTTATATTTACATCGAGGGGACCCTCTCTATAGAGGCCGCCATGTTTTTTACAGTAGTCCAGACTAAACAAACTAAACTACCACAGGTTCTTTTTCATATTTGGAAGGGGAGGGTGAGGTGAGAGGTATTCAACTGCAACATGCAATTACATCACTCAATATCACTTAATTCTACACACTGTACCTTTAAACTGCAATCCTTGCCAAATAAGGGCATTTACCTTGTTCACTAACTGACAGACTACAGACAGACATCTTATTTTTTCTTATTTTAGTTAATAATCACCTAAAACCAAAGACTTTAGAATAAAGATCTGCATAATTCTTTAGTCAGCGGGTCTTAACACAGTGTAGAGGATCATTGCAATGTAACTGAATCAGAATCCTTTAACAGTGCCTTAGGAAGTTGAACATGTGAGGATTTTAATCATCCCTGCCTTGGTTGTGTTTGCCATCTGCGGAAACTGATCACCTTTGTTACAATGACCTCGAGCCACTTTACATCACTCCAATAGATTGATCTGCAACTTCACCCGAATCGGCAGGTTTACTCCGGCTCACCAGGAAATCAGTGGCCTCGGCAGTAATTGCTCTTCTGTGTTACAAACGTAATATCCATTCTTGTGAAGAGAGGGTCACCAGGCTGATGTACAGGCAGGGAGACAGATTATTCACACCTTCTCAGGTGTGACTGCCACACTTGACTTCCTAGAATTGAAAGACATTTTTACATTGAGATTTAAATGGCTCAGCAGCCAGGCAGATCATCACATCAGGTTTCCTGCCTGAACAGTTGGTATATTCTCTTATCAGACATGGAAGAAATTAGAACATGTGCAATTATGGCTTCCTCATGCTTCTCCTCCTCGTATGATCCATTTGGTTAATTTATATTCACATTATGACCATCATACAGGTCACTGAGTCTGCTGAGGTTGGTGTAAACCAAAACAAAATTAAAGAAAAAAAAAAAAGAAAGATTTTACATTTGTCATATAACACCTACAGCACGGCCATTTATAACATTCCCTTCTCTGCACCCACGTCCTGTAGTTTAGATGTTGCACTGGGAGAAGTGAAGCACTGTACTGATTGGAGTATCATGCCCTCTTCTGGCAGGTAGCTCGCTGCCTGGGACAGAGGATGAACTGCAGCTGTGTCTCTGTTAAGCTCCAGTCGGCTCCATTTACAGAACAGTCCTGTGTCATTCCTGTGGGATGTTCACTTTCCTATTATTTGACCTTCCACCTGAGGGCACTCTGAAAAGAGACCATACTGTTCTGCTCAGAACAAGTAAAGTGAATTTACTCACCTGCAGTGTATAAATATATATTTTGGACAGATGTGTACTTTACTTGGGCATTTTCATGTCTCGCAATAAAAATATATTGTGCTACATTTAAGAAGAAAAACGTTTTACTCCCGTACATTTACCTGACAGTTACTAGTTTCTTTGAAGATAAGGTTTTACACACAAGATTCCCAACCTTGCTGGCTACCAAAATAACAAAAAATACAAAAAAACATTGTCTGGCTGGCTCCTTGTCAAGATTCAAACGTCAATCAGTTGAGAAAACCAACTAAGAGATAGTAATGAGGCAGCAACAAAAGATTTAGATTCAGATCTAAACTAAAGATAATTTTTACTTAAAAAAGTGATATAAACTGATGAAACTAAGCTTCTTACTCGTGCTGCAACTTAAGAGAGGATGAGCAAATATAGACTAAGCACACGCAAATAAGGAAAAACATCTATTTGACAACACATAGTATGTTGCAAATACACACAATACAGCCGAAATGATAAATAGCTGATAGAAATACTTTTTCCTGTACAGCTAAAGAACATTACTCATATATGTATGACGGTCATATAAAGAGATCTACTGGGTTGTGCCACAAGTTTATGTTGAAGAGCAGCATTCCAGCTCACTCTGAGGAGGGACTCCTGGATACCTAAGGGGCAGGAAATATGAATATGAACTCCACTCAGTGACAAAATGAAAAATAACAACTCTCCATTCACAGTTAACACTATACATATTCATGCAAGTTCTGTGGGTGGATAACATGCTCAAAAATATAATTTGGACAGGACTAAAACTAAACTAAAAGTGTTACAGCATCATCACTGCTTCTATCCTCACACCAGGTGATGACAGTCTGCAGGTGAAGTTTAACCTTATGAGAAAAAACTCTCTCTTGCAAAAAGGAAGAAAAAGCATAGGATGATTTCTATTTTCCGATTGAGAAATACAGCCCGATTTAGTTTTGCATTGTTTCTTTTTGAGGCCAAAGAGGGCCTGTTGTCTCAGATCCACACCTCACTCCGGTTATTCATCACTGGGAAATTGAATTGTTCTCCATGCCAAGATGCCACAGTGTAAAATCAGTTTAGTTTTTATCAATTAGTTTTTAGCCCAACAGCTGGATGCTCCCATTGCAAACTGCTGCAGATGCTGGTATGGGCCTTTGATTTATTCTCCTCTGGGGAACCTGCTGGCCAATTGGACAGTCTGTCTCTGGGGGTGAACATTTTTCAGAGATTTGCTTTCGGGCATGAGTCCACATTTTTCCTGCAACCTATTGCTGTACAGCATGATTTGCTGGTACATTTTAAATCCCTACAACAAACTTTAAACAGCCCTGTGGAGGATTTTGTGACTTTAATGACTCCTAGTGGTCTTGTTTAAAGGCACGGCATGCTGTTTGTCTTATTTTGTGTGATTATATTTTCAAATTTGATGATTCTTCAAAAAATATCAGGCAATAATATTGAAACACTTGGTAATACTAGCAGCTCAACAATCGACTAACGTAGAATAAAAACTAACATATATGTATAAAATAATTCTACATTTAGTTTGAATGTGGTGTATTTGAAATACAGTGTGTAAGAACATGTCACAAAGGCAGCAGGAATTAACTTTTAATTATTGTTGGTAAGTTCACTGAGTCAGAGGGTTGTTGGGATTTAAAGCTGCACTATTTGTTTTTTGGCCACTAGGGGCAGAAAAAACACTGAGACAAATCAACACACAAACTGCTGTGTACCACATGTTTGGCTGTTGAGGTGATTGTGTTACCAAATATTTCACCTTTGTATTATGCTATTTAGAAAAGTGTTTAACTGTAGTGAGTTGAAATGCTTGCTAACTTGTAGATGTTTGAACTCTTCTTACCAACCAGTTGCTACCTTTATCAGTTTTGGTGAAGCTGGTTAAACGTTTTCACAGCTTATTGCAGGTTTTTCGAGATTTGAGGCTGATGAGGTTCAACGATCTGTCAGTGTTTGGCACTAAGTCGTGCTGGTAAGCTAGCAAAGAAAAAACTGATAAGTCCGACAAGTTTTCAATAGTTTAATTATACACAAATCACTGTATGGCCTTGACGGCCAAAACTATCTTCTGATGTTTGTCAATTTAGTTGCATTAGACTTAACTGTAACTGTAATGGTAATGTATAGTGTCTGCTTTCAAGATTTAGAGAAATCTGCACTAGAAAAAAGTAAAACAAGACTTCCTGATGCAGCCACCACTGCAACGTCTGAGTAGTTTTCACTTTAGATGGCACTAGTTATGTTATGTCACATTAGTGTAATACAGGCATTAAATAATGTTATATTAGAAATAACTGTATTGAGCAAATCTAATTCCTAGTCTGTTCTGTTTGCTTGACTCGGTTGTTGCATTTGTTTTCATCTGAGATTAGCTCACAACTCCTTACAACTAATCAGAAAAACTGTTCTCATTAAGTCAGAAAAGGGATCCGATTGTTTTCTTATAAAAAACGTTCTTTTATTAATAATAATTAACCAAAAGTTGTTGTTTTTTTTCTATTTGCATGTGTTTTCCCAATGTGCAGCACATTGAGCTCTGGGCCCCTGCAGTATTAGCATGATTATTAGTTTTACTTTTATTATTCACATTCTGCAGTAGAGAAGCTACAGACACGAGTTACTTCAGAGGTGAGCGACTCTTTTTAAGAGGTGTAAACATACACATGTACAAATAGTGTTTAGGGAGTGCGTCCTCGCTGCTTCCTGTGGCCCAGTGTAAACTCCAATAATACCGCGTGGCACTTGGAGACAGAGAGCCCAGGTTGGGAGTGGGAGGGGCCTGTGGCTCGGATTTCCAGAGGAGAGCGGCCACCGACCCGCTGACGAACGTCCTGTGTGTGCGCGGCCTGCGCAGCGCCGCTGCTCCACACACACACAGCGCCCCCCTGCGCCCAGCGGCTCAGCCCCATCCACATGATGTATAGATCGTGCACCGAGCCCCGGGGGGAAGTCCGAGCTGAGCCTCCTACTATCTGAGCATCCTCAGGAAAAAAAAAAAAGAAAAAAAGAAGCTAAACAAGCAAAAGTTTTCCAGAGGAGTCGACATGGACGCAAAGGAGCAGCCCGTGTGACCCGACGAAGAGACTGACGCCAGGCTCTCTTCACACGGACAGAGAATGATAACATAGGCGGCGTTTTGTTCGCTTTTTTCCGTGTGTGTGTGGAGCGTGTGAGGGGACACGACAAGCTGAAGTGTGGGGAAGTTTTGAGGCAGGGCTATGGCGCGGAGCGGAGACGCCGCCGGGATGTCCAAAGCTCCCAAAGTCCAGAGGAAGAAGAAGAAGAAGAGCAAGGAGAACAAAACCAGGACGGTCCACACAAACTTACTGTACGACCTCTCCAAGGGCGAGGAAAACCCCAACAGACACTATGCAAACAACAAGATCAAGACCACCAAGTACACGGTGCTCTCCTTCCTGCCAAAGAACCTCTTCGAGCAGTTCCATAGGTTCGCCAATGTTTACTTTGTCTTCATCGCCTTGCTGAATTTTGTCCCGGTTGTCAACGCGTTCCAGCCCGAGCTGGCCCTGGCCCCCGTGGTGTTCATCCTGTCAGTCACTGCCATCAAAGACCTGTGGGAGGACTACAGGAGACACAGGTCGGATAAAGAGATCAACCACATGGACTGTCTGGTCTTCAGCAGGTACGTCAGGGCCTGGACACAGCCAGGACAGCCAGATGTGTGTCAGAGGCTGCTGTTTGTCCATAAGTGTCCACCGAACAAACGGTCCCCTGCAAGTAATGGTTCCCACACAGGAGCAGATGAGAGCACTTTAAAAGAAAGAACAATCAACACACAGTGTCAAACCCTGTAGTTTGGAAGGTGTGTTGATGGTTCACATCCACTTTGGCCTTTGTCAGTGCAGAATAGGAAGTAAAGTCAAGCTAAACCTGGCTAACACATGAGCAACATATATCACACATGGAATCCAAAAGTCTTAAAAAAAGCCTCCTGTTTCCTGCCCACCTGTCTGTCTGAGAGGAGTGAATCCTCCTGATACACATGTCTGGGTTTGATATGACTCATAACAACCTGTTGAGTGGGACAAAATATCAACATCATCCTGATTCGTGAGATACGATTATCAGCATGCTGAAATGACTGGCATGTATGAAAAAATAGTTTAGTGACATTTGATGAGAAACATTTACTATATTAATCACTGACAAAACCACATAGGATAAGCACAAAGTTTTCTGACTGAACTCCACAGACTGTTTACCTAAATCTCTGCACACAGTGTCCAGCACACAATCAATACAAAGTGACAGAAGATGTCAAACAGTTTGAGGAGGACTCACTCACTACACCAATGCACTTTTTTGTACATTGTTTCCTCTCAATTGTTTGTGTGACACCAAATTGCAGCGAATAAATACACACATCCTGTTATTTTCCTCTTTAGGGGCATCTTGGATTCTTCATGTGAACAGTTATCATGATGTTTTGTTATGGTTGTATTAATATTTTGATTATCGCAGAACCCCTGTGGGGATATTATCGTTATCGTGGGCCATGTGTCACGTATCGTAATGTGAGTTACCCTGCAATTCCCAGCCCTCCTGCTATGTTCCCGTGTGTGTGTGTGTGTGTGTGTGTGTGTGTGTGTGTGTGTGTGTGTGTGTGTGTGTGTGTGTGCATGCAGTGTATTTTGCTAATGAAAAGCAGCACTGTCGACCATGTACAGAGCATAATTCACGGTAATCAAAAGGCTCAGTGTTCGGCAGCTCCAGAGTTCTAGCTAAAGTCTTGACCCGAGTTGTTCTGTCAAGGTTGGACATAATTGAATTTTCTTCTGCTTTGGCAGTATTGTGCAAAACATCTCCTTTCTAATGCCCAATAACAGCTGACTGGACTTAACCCCACACTTGTGTAATTTTCCTCAAGGTGACACACAAAGTCGCTCACACTGTGGATCACTTTCCATAAAGCTACCGGTGAACCCATGTCTATGAAAACTAAAATGTATCCTCACACAGCCACTTTTCACGTGGCAGTGTAGGGGGAGTCTGGATTTGTGATAAGGAAATTCCATTTTTATCAAAATTACTAATATTTACAAAGTCAAAATGATGGAAACAGTCATGATTTACAGCAGAGGATTCCTCCTAAATGTAGATTGTAGAGCCGCTACAAAGACACATATACACTAAAATCGCACATTTGCAAGTGTACTTTAACGGAATGTAAATAGTTTGCTCCTAATCTGTTTTGCAAAGTGACATCAGCATCCACTGGTGCTGTCCTGAAACAATCTGGATTCCTGGTCACTTAACGCCTCATTTTTACCGCAACAGTTTATCTCGTTGTTTTCCATCTGAGCTGATATACTCTTTCACAACCGGATCATTCATTAGTGACGTGTGTGGGACTTCTTCTCATTTGTCCTCTTTACTTTACAGAGAATTGAAGATAAGTTTCTCATTGTGTCATCGTTGAAGGGCAGATCTCTGACCGCCATTACACCGCATTTTCACCAGATGCATAGTCTCCTTGTTTTCAGACAACACTTCAGTAGTTTTGACTTAAATCTACAGAAATAAACATTGATAAAACAATTTAACGCTCAGAAACCCCTGACACAGAACTAAGAACAATTTCCTCCATTCAGGACTGTTGCTTTCGTTTTTAGCAGTATAGTTTTCACAGTAGCTGTGACCTTTAAACAAAGATCACTAGTAAGAGGAGTGCTCAAGGTTATTTCATCAGTATTCATAGATTCATGATCCTGGTATGTTATGGTTCCAGTGGGCTGTGTACATTTAATAAGGTGTGAAGTCAAAGATAACAAAGCCATGTGCTCACTAGATTCACACATTTAAAATGTAAACGTGTCCACGAGGAGTAGACATATTTACATTACGTTTTTTCAGCTGTTTCAGGATTTTGGTCTTGGTTTTACTTCTTTGTGACTTATTTCTCTTACAGAGAAAAGCATTCCCTGTTCTTCTCTTCAAAATAAAAGCACATTGTTGTTCCCAGTTGGAAAGTAGAAACTGAAGTCACAAATAGATTTTTTTTTTTTT